TTTGTAGTTTTAAATGTACTTTCTAAATAATAAATCAGAGCTTTAAACCTCAACAGCTTCTATCTGAGCAGCAGAACGACATAAATACACTCATTTAAATAAATCACTATTTTACCATGAATAACATCGAGCTGCGACACAGTGACACCTTGTGGGGAAAACTTGTTACTGCAGATGCATTTTTTATGTATTTGGCAAATATTTCGAGTATTGCTGGATTTTGGATCGCTGGGTTCAAGCTGACGGCAAATTTTTTTGCTTTGTTTTTGACTAAAGTACAACCATACATATATATAACACATGGTAGTAACACTGTTAACAGTCAGACTGTGACACCTGGATGGATTTTGTTGATCATTTTTTGACTTTATTTTTTGTGTCTGGTTTCTGTTGTTTTTACTCATTTTTTGTCTCCTTTCTGTCATTTTACTTCTAGTTTGTATGTCTTTGGGACATTTATGTGATTTTGTGTCTCCTTTTCTCCGTTTTCTGTCTTGTTTTCTTTTTTTTTAAAATCTGCTTTTTGACATTTCGTGTCTCATTTATCTTGTTTTGTGTAATTTTTGTCAAATTTTTCTTGTTTTATGTCTCCTTTTTGCTTTGTGTCTACATTTTGGCATTTGGTATGAAGTTTCGCTTGTCTCTGGGACAGTTTTAGTCTCTTTGTGGCATGAAACCATGATACATCCCATAATATTGATGCTCAAAGTTGATTATTAAAAAAAAAAGGAACAAAAAACAGATTTAGTGTTTAAACTGTGACATCTGGATGGATGCGAAACTGGTTTTGTTGGTCATTTTGCGACTCATTTTCATTTTTTGTGTCTGGTTTTCGTTGTTTATCCACATTTTTTGTCTCCTTTCTGTCATTTTGCTTCAATTTTGTTTCTTTGAGACATTTTTTTTCTAATTGTGTTCATTTTTGTGTCTCTTTTTCTACGTTTTCTGTCTTGTTTTCTATTATTTTTGTCTGCTTTTTGACATTTCATGTCGCATTTATCTTGTTTTGTGTAATTTGTTTCAAATTTTCTTGTTTTATGTCTCCTTTTCTTTGCTTTGTGTCTAGATTTTAGCATTCGGTATGAAGTTTCGTGTGTCTCTGGGACAGTTTTAGTCTCTTTGTAGCATGAAGCTAGGATACATCCCATAATATTGATGCTCAAAGTTGATCACTCTAAAAAAAATGAACAAAACCTAGATTCAGTCTTTAAACTATGACACCTGGATGGCTGTGAAACAAATTTTTATGACTAATTTTTTTTATGTTGTGTCTGGTTCCTGTTGTTTTTCCTCATTTTTTGTCTCCTTTCTNAGGTCATTAATCGCCCCAGAAGTCTCTGTCATGGTGCCCATTGTGAGCTAAACCCCAACAATGTTCTTTGTTTGCCCAAAAAAGAATCGCATGTTGTCTGCTTAAACACAGCAAATGAGCTTCAAGAGTACGAGGCTCCACCTGGTGGTACAACCAGGTACTACAGCTAACACATTTTCTGACCACCTCTTCTGTTTTAAGTAAATTCTCACAAGCGGACAATCGATTATCGACCAGACGGCAAACAGACAAACAGCTGAGACAGTCGCACCGGAGTCTGGCAGCGAGTTGAGGTCAGCACACAGGACGATGGGGATGGAGGACGGGTCGGAGGTGGGCGAGCCCGTCGCCACGGAGCCCGAGGCCCTCTCGGCGATGCTCTTCAGCTCCGACAGGAACATCATGGTCTGGATCAGCTTGACGTCCGAGTACTCGGGGTCCCAGTGCATGTGGGCGTTGGCCACCAGGATCAGCTGCCGCTCCTGAGGCGGCTTCATGCCTGGAAACGAAAACACTGATTTATACCACAAGATATACGGCAAACGAAGAGACAAAGAAGGAAACGCAGATCCAGCTTAACCTGAAACACAACGAAACTGATTGAAAAATGCTCGTAAAACCCCCCAAAATAAACTCTGCTGCTATTTTGGCTGCAGAAAAACCACATAGCTGTGATGCAACTTGAGAAACTCAAATTGCTGACAAAGTAAAACGTCTTAAAGGAAGTGGATTTACAGAATGAAAAAATGGGAAGTTTTAATTTACATGAGCATCACTGGGGAAGAAACACGTGTAGGGAAAATGTCCCTGCAAAGACAGTTAGCTCGTTGAGTTTAAATTCTTCACAAAAACAAAAAAAAACTTGCTCAGAAGATCATTTAAATGTTTGAATTTATTGGGTTTTTGTGCATTTCTACTCTGTAAATCATAATACTGATGGCTCTGAGCTATAATATCAATTAATTGGGGTAATTAACCTCCACAATTAACAATGAAAGTGCAATAATATTGAACGTGCTAATTTCTTTATAATGAACAACAATTTAATCAGGTAAAGTCGTATTTTAAACAACTTTTGTGGGGTTTAAATCGTCACTATGTAAATTACTGTGGTGACGTCACATCATAAATCACATTACAGCTCATTAACTGTGGTACTTACAGTTGTTG